AGCAAATGGACAAAAGCAAGAAGCATCATGGTAAAGAGTTAATAAATAAATAAATAAGGGTTTGAAATTCAGTTCTGTGGCTTACTAGTGGGATGATCTTCCAAAAGTTGTTTACCACCTTCAGTGTTCATCTCCTCATCTATAAAAATCATATAAACCCATTCCTGACAAAAAATTCTCAGCAAAACAGGAATAGAAGGGACATTCTTCAACACAATAAAGGCATATATGCAAAACCAACAGTCAACATTATTCTCAATGGAGAGAGACTGAAACCATTCTCCTTGCGAACAGAAACCAAACAAGTATGCCCACTCTCACCACTTCTATTCAACATTGCATTGGAAGTCCTCCAAAACAAACAAACAAACTCACTGCCATCAGTTGGATCTGACTCATAGCCATCCCCCTCTTGTGTTTCCGAGGCGGTATCACTACAGAAGTAGATTGCCCAACCTTCCTTCCAAGGAGTGGTTGATGGGCACTATTCCACCAGAGCTCCTTAGCTATAGCAATAAGGCAGGAAAGAGAAATCAAAAGCAACCAACTTGGTAAGGAAGAAGTAAAACTATCCCTATTTGCTGATGAGGAGCTCTGGTGGCTTAGTGACTAAGGCATCTGACTGCTAATCAGAAGACTGGCAGTTCAAACCCACTAGCCACTTCCTGGAAGGATGATTGAGCAATCTACTTCCACAGTGATATTGTTGTTGTTGTTGTTGTTGTTGTTGTTATGTGCCGTGGAGTCGGACCTGACTCATAGCGACCCCTCCTTGGGTTTCTGAGGCAGCATCACTACAGAAGTAGATTGCCCCATCTTCCTTCTGAGGAGTGGCTGGTGGGTTTGAACCGCCAGCCTTCTGGTTAGCAGTCATGCGCCTTAGGCACCCGGAAACCCAAAGAGGGAAACCAAGGAGGGGTCGCTCTGAGTAGATCCACCTCGACAGCAGGTATTTGCTGATGATATGATCCTATACCTAGAAAACCCAAGAGACTCAGTCAAAAATCTACTAGAACTAATTGAGAGATTTAGCATCATGGCAGGATATAAGATCAACATCCAAAAATCAGTTGGATTCCTCTACACCAGCAGATTGCTGAAAAAGACATAGGAAATCAATACCATTTACAATAGCTACCAAAAAAATAAAATACTTAGGAATAAATCTTATCAGGAACACAAAAGACCTGTACAAAGAAAGCTATAAAAGACTACTTCAAGAAACCATAAAAGATCTACATAAATGGAAAAGCATCCCATGCTCATGGATAGGAAGATTGAACATTGTGAAAATGTCAATTCTACCCAAAGCAATCTATACATTCAATGCAATCCCAATCCTGATCCCATCAATATTCTTTAAGGATATGGAAAAAACAATCACTAAGTTTATATGGAAAGGAAAGAGACCTCAGATAAGCAAAGCATTATTGAAGAAGAACAAAGTAGGAAGTCTCACATTCCCAGATCTTAAAACTTGCTATACAGCCACAGTGGTCAAAACTGCCTGGTATTGGTATGACAGACACATAGATGAATGGAATAGAATTGAGAACCCAGAAATAGATCCATCAACCTATGGTCAGCTGATATTTGACAAAGGGCCTAAATCCATTAAATGGGGAAGAGAGTGTCTAACAAATGGTGCGGGCAAAACTGGATATCCAATTGCAGAAAAATCAAACAAGATCTTTACCTCACACCACACACTAAAACTAAATCCAGATGGATCAAAGACTTAAATGTGAAACCTAAAACTATATATAAAGTTCCTCAAGGAAAAACTAGGGGCAACTTAGGGACTCTGATATATGGCATAAATAGACTATCAAGCATAACCCAAAATGCACAAAGAGCAGAAACTAGGTGAATGACATCTTCTAAAAATTAAATTTTTATGTGCTTCCAAAGACTTCTCCTAGAGTCAAAAGAGAACCTACAGATTGGAAAAAAATAAATATGTGGCAATGACATATCTGACAAGGGACTTATCTCTAGAATTTACAGAAAACTCCAATACCTCAACCACAAAAAGGCAAATAATCCAATTAAAAAATGGGCAGAAGACATGAATAGACATGTCCAAAGAGGATATTCAGATGGCCAACAAACATATAAAGAAATGCTCACGATCATTAGCCATTAAAGAGAAGCAAATCAAACCTACAATGAGATACGATTTGTCCCCAGCACTAGTAGCAATGTTCAACAAGACAGAAAATAACAAATGCTGGTGAGGATGCGAAGAGATTGGGACTTTCATATACTGCTGTTGGGACTGTCAAATGATACAACCACTATGGAAAACAGTATGGCGATTCCTTAAAAAGTTGGAATTAGAATTATCATTTGACCCAGCCATTCCATTACTGGGTATATATCCTAAAGAAGTGAGATCCAGGACAAGAACACACATATGCACACCCATGTTCATCGCAGCACTATTTACAATAGCAAAAAGATGGAAACAACCTAGGTGCCCATCAATAGAAGAATGGGTAGCCAAACTATGGTACATACATACAACAGAATATTATTCAACCCTAAAGAATAATGTAGAATCTGCAAAACACCACATAACATGGATGAACTTGGAGGACATTATGCTGAGTGAAATAAGTCAATCACACAAGGGCAATTATTGTATTAATTCATTATTGTAAAAAGTCAAGGAAAGGTTTATATATGGAAGGAAAATATTTTTGTTGGTTACCAGGGGTAGAACACTGTTAAGACAGGTAGAGACAAGTATTGATTTGGGTGAAAAGAAGGCCAATATACCAAATGGCACTGAGGGCCACCAACACAGTGGCACTGAGGAAGAAGAAGACATAGAGAGGTGCATGGGAGGTACAGACAACAAAGATAAACCCTTTTGCATATACAGTACTGCATTGTCAGTGCAGGCAAATATTGATATATGGGTGGATAGATGAGTGGACAGGCTGAACTATTAGGTATGTCTATGCAGGGTGGAGCTCTGGTAGCATAGTGGCTAAGACACTTGCCTGCTAACCAGACGGCTGGCGGTTCAAACCCACCAGCCACTCCTCGGAAGGAAGGTTGGGCAATCCTACTTCTGTAGTGATACTGCCTTGGAAACCCAAGGAGGGGTCACTATGAGTCAGGTTTGACTCGACGGCACATAATAACAACAACAACAATATGCAGGGTGGAGTGTGCCCATGACCATGTATAGGGTTGGCAGACAATGTTTCTACAAATGTGTTTGTATGTTCTGTAAGAATTGCCAAGTATATAGTAGAGCTGACAAGGAGCAAGGTTGTAGCCACTTCTTGGCCACAGCCAGCTACTTAGAGAAAGCAAGTACTTGGACCTGTGGGCTTGGGATCATAGTCTCAGAGGACATCAAGTTCAACTGTCATAATATACTACACAAAAACATTGTTCCACATCCTACTTTGGTGAGTAGAGACTGGGATCTTAAAAGCTTGCAAGTGGTCATCTAAATGCAGTGATGGGTCTCTCTTCATCCAGGGCAAAGAAGAATGAAGAACCAAAGACACATGGAAATAATTAATCCAAGTGACTGGTACAATATGTGATCCTCAGCCTATACGACTATGAGACCAGAAGAACTAGATGGTGACCGGCTACCACTGTCAACCACTCGGAGAGGATCTATGTGGAGATCCTGGATAGAGAGGGAGAACAATGTGGAACAAAACTCAAAATCACTTGGAAAAAAAGAGGGGGGGATCAGGTTTGCTGGTCTGATAGACCCGGGTGGAACCACTGAGACTATGGCCCCTAGCTGCCCTTCAGGTCTGGAATTGAACCCACACCTGCGGCTTCCAGCCAAACAAAAGACAGGTATATGAGTTGAACATCTACCTGAGGTAAAACACTTCTTGGAGAGAACCATCGTGGGAGAAATAAGGGCTGTTTATGCACAGGGAGACAGCTCAGGGGGCAGGAGTTCATGGAGGGATGGACACAGGGAAGAGGTAACTATTGGGAGGAAGTGGAAGGGGAGCTGTTGCATTGGGGTAAATTGTAGTCAATATCATGAGACAAAGTATATTTGAACTACTATAATAGAAAGTGATTTTGCTCTGTAAACTTCCACCCAAATCACAATTAAAAAAAAAAAAAAGTCTGATAGATACAAGGTTAAAAATGACTTCAAAGCACTAAAATGATATTGTAAAGATGATAAAAGTTCTAAAATTAAAGTCAGAGGTGAAAAGGCAACAGTTGGAATGGATGTACTATAGTAGACTAATGATATGAAGTAAATAATAATGTAAAACAATATATAGACAATAAATGAAGTGAATAAATAGAATGTAAATAAAACAAAAACTAAATTTGTTGCCATTGAGTCAAGTCTGACTCATACCGACCCCTCCTTGGGTTTCTGAGGTGGTATCTCTATGGAAGTAGATTGTCCAGTCTTCCTTCTGAGGAGTGGCTGGTGGGTTTGAACCACCACCCTTCCGGTTAAATAGAAGCAGTAAATCCATGCCAGTACTCTACACAACACTAAAATTACCTTCTATGGCAAAGATTAGTTAGACAAAATATACCTTTAAATCTTGAACTATCAAAAAGATTTACATTATGTCTATTACCAAAATATTCAAAGGGCCAAAAAATACATGAACTTCCAATATAAAATATTTGGTAGTAAGGAACATAATTCAACTATGTTCAAATAGAAAACACTTTTAAAATAATCTGCAAAGCTTGAAATGCAAATTTTGTGATTATACTATTCTAGCAAGCTAAATCCTTTTTTTCAAGCATGAACAAAAAGTGATTACAGAACTATAGGTTGTACGATTTCTTTCCGTAAGATACTGTGAATGTGCTACTTTTAAATCAAGACCTTAAAATACTTCCATTATTCTACAATACTATTTAAAAGATTCCCATATGAAAAACAAAATGACATACTGCTTGAGATAAAAACTGTCTAATGGGAACAAATCATCTGTCCATTGCTATCATAAAGACTTTTTTCATTTTTAACTTACCACTCGAACACTTCTTAGAAGTAACATTATTCCAGCTACGGCCATTCCAGTGCTGATGTTCTATAGAAAGAGATTTAATGATTCATTCTCACTAATTGTTGTTCACAGTAGTGAAGTACTAATTAAAAGGGGGAAAAAAAAGATTGTCTTCCCTATATTTCTCTAACTGTCCAATACCACATATCCCTCAACTGAAGGGCTGCCTCTTCCAAAAACCTTTGCCCACTCACCCATTAATCTTGCCCTCTTTCACTTCTGTAACACTTCCAGTCTGTTTCAAGCTATCTGGCATGCACAGAACTATATACATATATCAAATGTATTGTTCTCCATTGATTGAAATACTTTAACCATAGTTCCTTGAATACATGAATTGATCTAATAGTTTTTGTGCAGTCCCCACAGTAAACCTGACCATAAGCCTGAGTTTATGGTGTAAATTTAAGAATTTGGTAAAATAAAAAAACCTTATCACTAAAACCTTAAAATATAGCACCTTAGCAAATGCATGTGGGTAAATGTTTGGGAAAAATAATAATGCTTTTTAAAACAAAAGTTGTGGCAAGGATGTGGAGAAACTGGAGGCCTCATCCATTGTTGGTGGGATTGTAAAATGGTACAGCTACTACGGAAAAGAGTGGGCGGTTTCTCAAAAAGTTGAACACAGAATTACCAATTGATCCAGCAAGTCCACTCTTAGGTATATATCGAAAAGTACTAAAAGCAGAACCACAAACAGATACTTGAACACAAGTGTTTATTAAAGCACATTGCCAAACAGCGGAAACAGGCCTAAATGTCCATCAACAGATGAATAAATAAAACAAAATGTGGTATATACATATAATGGAATATTCCTCAGCCATAAAGAGAACTGATGTCCTGATACATGCATTGAAAACATTATGAATTTAAGTCAGTCACAGAAGGACAAGTATTATATGATCCCATTTACATGACAAATCTAGAATTGGCTAATGTATACAGACCAAAGTTTTTAAGTGGTTACCAGGGGCAGGCAGGAGAGGGAGACAAGGACTCAATGCTTAGGAAGACCCTGAGGTTCTGTTAAGGATGATGGTATCATTTGGGAATGGAAAGGATGATGTTTGAACAACATGATGAACATGTCATTGAAATGTACTTGTAAAGACTGTTGAAATGTCAAATGTTTTGCTACATATATATTTATCATAATAAAAAAAAATGGAAAAGAAACACCATTAGTGGACTTCCGGTAAGATGGAGGAATAGGCAGACAAGCAACACAGATCCTCTTCAACAAAGAAAAGAAAAACCAATTGACGGAGATACAGATAATCCTGGAACCCTGAGCTTTGAAAGGAACTATACAGAAGTGGATTAGGCACCAACTATTGGAAAATCCTGAATGAAAACAGTGAGTACAGAGATGATCAGAGCTGTAGACTGTCAGCTACTCTGACGAGACCAACAGCCTGAATATTTCCAAGTGGTGTTGGGGCCTGAGAACTACCTAAAGATCAGTCCTGGTCACCAAGGGCTGCAGGGACAACTGCTCTGGTGGCCTATGACTAGGAAGGGAAACAGTAAGGAGGGAGACAACCTGAGCTATGGACTTTCTGCTGTCCAGAGAGCGCAGCCATTTTGATTGTTTACATGTGGCAGTCATTTTGGATATTTAAAGTGACCGAGGGCAC